TCAAATTTTCCAAGTATTGTGAAGGAAACAAACAAACAAGTGTAAAAACCTGCTTGAGATTAGATAGCCAGAGAAGGACTGATAGCCCGAGGAGGTGACATTGAAGTTGAAACAGAAAAGGTGAAAATGAGCTGACCATTTGTAGAGGGCATAAGGAAAATAGTTATTTTTTTCTAGTATTTATCATATTCATAAATAGACATCCCATAGGAACTGGAGTATATCAATGAGTAGGTAACTGCCTGGAACTGTTTTGTCATACTATCATGTCTTTCCCACTGATACTTCCTTGATTCTTGAAGGCTCACTGTTATATGAATTAGTTTAAATTATTACTGTAACTTTAGCCTCAGAAATAGATATTTGGGACAAATCTGAAGCTTTGGACTTTGGGACTACGTGGATATTACAATTTAACATCTTTAGATAAGAGTTCTAGAGTTCTTAGAGGTGAGAGGAACAGAGGGCGGCATTGCAAGGAAGATAAACCGAGGAGAACAGGGACACACTGAAGATAAATTTTGCTGACTTCATAATTTTGCCTACAGTCAGCTCGAGTCTTGTCCACCAGAATAAAATCTAGTGTTTTCTTACAAGTCTAAGCTTGTACTTGTAACTAGTACAAAAGTAAGTTTTTGTTTTTCAGAGAAATAAGATGAAGATAAGAATATGTGAAATGGGTTATAAGACTTCAGTAACTTTCTTGAGGTATCTTGGTCAGTACAGAGATGGGAAAGGTACTTAATATGTGCTGGTTTGATCTCTTATAACAGAGGTTCCCAATAGTTTTTTTCTTGTTGCCACTCAAAGAATGTCACTATTTACAATTATAGTGGACTTCTGCGGTGGTGTTTGCCATGTTCTAGAAATTCTATCACTTTGCTTTTTAAGGAAGTAGTATTAGTGATATATTCATAAGGATAATTTTAGATATATCTGAATCCTGAATTATTTTTAGTAACAAGTTAATAATAATGTGATGAACTTTCATTGAAAACAGCTTTCTTTGTATTTAGACATTTATTACTTGTGTGATTAATTTTCCTGACAAATAGTGTCAAGAAGTTTGTGTTTTTGAAAATGACCTATAGATCTCTAGCAAGCGTCCCACGTACAAACATTTTTATTTGTACGTGGGATGCTTTTTGCAGTTGTCCATCAATATTTGGTTTGATTTCCCCCATTATAATTCTTAATAAGCTCAGAGAAGACACCTCTAGTGCTATATGAAATATAAACGATTCCTAGTAAATAGATAGGAATTTAGACTGTCAATTTAATCATGTTTTCC